GTGGCTTGTGCTACTTATGATGCAATAAATCAAAGTATAGTATATATGTGATGGCGTGAACAAATACATGTCATAAAAATCTGTATGTAGAAAATTATTGACTATTGACGGATTATCTAATATGTTTCTCCTTAGTAGTCATAAATACCAAGATAAGTTTGTCAATGTCTACTGATTTAGAGCAGTAAAAAATATGTAACCGATGTATTCATAAAACACGTAACCAATGTATATGTATACTGATTTAGAGTAGTAAAAAATACCAAGATAAGTTGCAGCAGTTGTCACCTACTACATCCTTCTTATCTTTAGCAGGAATGGTCGCTTCAGCTGCTACACATAATTGTATGGGGTACTCCATATAAGGTTTCGCAGGTTCATGGAATGCAACGCTAACACTGTCAATGACACTATACCACCAAACTCAGGCTTAGCAATAGTTTAACAAAACAAGACCAATTTGTCACGAGATGACAATAATTAAGAACGACAATCTACCTGCCTAGCAGACGTCACTTGCAGCATTGGTGTAATCAGGGAACGCTTGTATGTGGCCTCCTAGGAGAGTTGATGGGATGCCTGTCAGACATCATTCACACTTGCATCAGACAGGACAAACAGGGCGAGGACCAAGATCAATACTGTTTGGGTTTAGTCTCACATCGTATAGTGATGGTGGGGAGCACAACATATAAGGTAGGAGAACCCCACGTATAAGGCTAGTCTTTTGGGTTGAGTAAGGCCCAAAAGCCTTATATGTTGTCAGCTCCGGTGGACCTGAGACATGTGGGAGCGCAGGCTCGTGGTAACGAGCCGGGCCGGCTGCAAGCCAGCTCCAAAACCGTGAACTCGGTGGTCACCATAAGTTCCAACACAATACAAAATTAGTAAAATTGCAGAAGGAAGGAGGGCTGCAGCGCGGGCAGCGGGGAGAAAGCGTGGTCTCCGGTGGTGCTAGTCTCTTTTCCGTCTACCGGCGGGCACGCCGCAGCGTGGGCAGCGGTGAGACGGCACAGTCTGCGGTGGTGCCGATCTCGTGTCTCAGCGGTAGCCGACCGCGGCAGGGGCGTTGTTAGCGGTGAGACGGTGAAGACGGACAGGGGCCAACGGAGAAGGCGGGTAGGCGTCAGTCTGTGTCTCGTGGACGTGGCATTGAGGTCGAGCGCGCGGGGCTCGTGGCGTCGATCGCGCGGGGCTCGCGGCATCGAGCACAGGGCTATGGCGCGTCGCCTCCCCTGCCATCTTCAACCTTTGGTCGGCCGCTCTAGTAGTCGCCACCATAACCAATACAACTACATAATTTATTAGACAGCAGGCCGAGTCCTAGTTCTTTTTTTATTGGAAGGTGACGTATCCTATCAGACTAAGACCCTACGTATCCTTTTAGACTAAGAATCCAGAACAAAAATCCAATGACCGAGCCGAAAAAAATAATACGGGTTGCAACCGCTGATTTAAAAAAGGAATAGGAGACTCATTACCTGCCAATGAGGCGATTTGTTTATGCATGTAATTGGATAGGTGCACGCTTATGTGATTGGCTAGTTTTGAATAGGACACAGCAACGTCGGTTTCGATATCTGTTTCATTACCATATACGAAGGAAAATAATACAGCCAAATCTGGCGCAACCGAATATTTAGATTAGGATTCCTATATTCAGCTTATTTGGAATCGCAGAGGTATATTCTAACTCGTATGAGCACGGGTTATTATATACATATGAGTTCGGACGAAAGAATTTCTCTATTGTCTGGTAGTTGGAGAAAGGATAAAAAAACGGCATGACCAAAAATTAGGCTGAAATTTAAGGTATAGAATTTGGTGAATGTACCGAAAATCATTTCATATGTAGTATGAGTCATTAACAAAAGTTTTATTTTTCTGAGTAATGCTTGATCCTTTACAATTTATTTTCATCAGAAGAAAATTTAATTAGCATTTTTTTTGTTTTCTAGAATGCACAGCCACGCCATGTATCTCTTTTAGGGTCTGCTCATTGAAAAGGATGCGAACAGCTCAAAAATCTTAGGAATGACGCTCTCACCAGCAAAGTCTAGCCGGGGGGGGGGGGGGGGTGTTCACTGGAACAACCCATTTTTTTACTAGAATTATGATTGCATGAAAAAATACTCCCTCACCGTAGGCCTGTTTGACATATGCTGGAACCACCCATTTTTTTACTAGAATTATGTTTGCATGAAAAAATACTCCCTCACTGTAGACCTGTTTGGCACACCTCCACCAACTCTGGATCCACGAAAAACAAATCCAAATTCACTTTTTTAGCCAAACGCTTGTAGATCCAACAGCTCCAATGTGGATGTGCTCACCAAAAGCATGGATCAGCCCTGAGATCCACCAATTTGGTGGAGCATCTCAGGGGGTGCCCCAAGTTTGGTGGAGTTGAGAAAAATCACCCACCATGCCACCAATTAGATGGAAAAAAAACTTTGTTCTATTCTTTCCCGTCCTCTTCCTCGTCGTGCACGCCTACCCGCCCATCCCGATGACCACGCCACCCCTCATTGGTAGCCGCGCCGCCCCTCGCCGGTGACGCGTTGCCGCCGACCATCTGTGCGCCCCCCCCCCCTCCTTGCGGCTCCCCTCGCTAGCAGCCGCGGTCACCCTGGCCAGCCACTGGGCCTGCATTTGGCTGGGGCCGTGTCCGCCCCCTAGCCGGCCGTGCACCCGCTAGTGGCAACACTCGGCCGTGGCCACGATCCCCGGCAATCATGCGGGCGAGCTCGTCAGGTCGGAAGAAAGATGCCCCATGTTTTTTTTATTATGCTCCTGATGTGTGGGCCCTGGTTAGCAGTGAGATAGAGAGAAGTGTGGAGCAGTACTAAACACTTAGATGCATCCCAGATACATGGTACGGTGGATCTGGGTGGATATGGTGAATCTAGTTGGATCTGCAGCTAGCAGAGATCTGCTAAACATGCTTTATACAATCGCTACCACATACTCCCATGACGCGTGCAGGCCGGCCCCTCCTGCCCCAACAATACATACTACTGTGCTCCTCTCCTATCATAGGTTGTTATAGGTTGTTGTGTTGTATGTGGTTGCTGTTACAATTATCTTCAGTGATCGAATCTGGAAACCTGGCAGATCTCTGAATCCGGTGACTCCAGTGTGCCTGTAGAATTGAATGATCGAATAGATACAACATACTTCCGTTATACTAGAAGGTGTACACATTGTAGAGAGATAGAGCACAGAGAGCAAAAGAAGAGTCCTTATAGCAACTCCGCACAGGCCACAAGCAAGCCATGACACCACTCGTAAGACAACCACCAATCGCCGAAGAACGCCACCAACGAACAACATACTCTCAAATACACCACGATTATTGTGCAACCACACCATCCCTCGTTATATTGTCCTTTTAACCACACTAATATTTCATTTTACACGCATTGGACTACGGTAGGTTTGTGTCGACCTAGCTTAACGGACGAAATAAGCACAAACGACTAACAACTTAAACGAGAAGAGAGAGTAGAAAGCAAGAGAGGAAAAGGACACAAGACACGTGAAAGGAACACAAACTAGCGAACGAACGAACGATAGGGACGATGCCCGGCACCAAATAGGCACAACTCTAGATTTGAACATCAGTGCCGGTTCAAAATGCCTATCAGTACCGGTTTTTTTGAACTGGCACAACTAAAGCGGCACTAATGAGCCTCCTTGTAATTGAGTTCATTATAATAATTATAATTTAGGCACAAATTAATTAAGCTAATATGGTTCTATATAGAATATATTTGTATATTATTGCTAGTCATACAAGGGAGATACTTATATGTTTTATTTCTACTGTAGGGAAGCGAGATGAAGAACAGGCTATAAGTTGGAGAATAGAAACGTAGCATGATGATCTATAGAGTCAATTTTCGTCTCTCACCCTATGAATTTGAGATAGGCTTCTACGTGAACTTTGAAAAATTATGGAATGTTGAATTCCAAGCCAAATAGCCTAATCCTTGAAGTATATTCCAATTTCTCTAAAATAAAAAGATCCAAACGGCCCCTGGTTTAAATGGGGACGAGCACGACACAAGTTGTCAAGTCCGTTCTTTTTCTAGGGGCGTGATTGATTGGGAGAAAGTTTAAGCCTGGCTCATACAAACTAGCCAGGCTCCTACCCACCAGGCTCATCTCATGCAACAACATTCTGCCGGGTTCATGAGCTGGACGGAGACAGGATAGGGAGGGATATTACTACAGACGGTAATTCCTTTTTTTATGTTTGGTTTTATGTTCCCATGTCATAAGGTTTCTAGGGGCGTGATTGGTTGGGAGAAAGGTTGAGCCTGGCTTGTACAAGCTAGCCAGGCCCCTACCCACTAGGCTCATCTCATGCAACAACATTTTGTTTGGTTCACACTTCTACAGAAAAGGTTTGTAGCAACGGCTCAATTTTTTTTGTAGGGGCGGCTGGGGATGGAGGTGCCCCTACAGTGGGTGTGCTCGGGACCCACGAGACCAGCCGCCCCTACAAATGGCATAGTAGGGGCGGCTGGTGATACGAGCCGCCCTTACAAATGGGTCGATTTGTAGGGGCGGCTAAGTCACCAGCCGCCCCCGGTGTTGCGATTTGTAGGGGCGGCTCAATCACCAGCCGCCCCTACAAATGCTGCATGCACAAAAGGTTGGAAGGAGTAGAAATTGAAAAGAACACACGAAAGTAGTTCCGGTCTCGGACCAAGCCGCAAGGCAACCCAACCAATCAGGAGTGGCAGTGCCCATCCGCGTCACGCTCTCATGGGCCGTGGCCGTGCGGCCCCACCGCCTTAGCGCGCGTTCTCTCTACGCATTTCCCCGCCTATATTTTATCTTGCGCCTGCCTTTCCCACCCCCAAAAAATCTCCAATTCCCCACCCCAACGCGCTACCCTAACCAGATTTCGCCGCTTCCTCCCCGTCGACCTCCCCCATCTCCCTCCAGCAAACCCTAGCCGAACCCCCGAGATCTGCTCCACGCGAGCAGCCATGGCGGAGACGCTCGACATGACCCTCGACGACATCATCAAGAACAACAAGAAGAGTAATTCCTCCTCCGGTGGGGGCCGCCGCAGCCGCGGCGGATCCGCCCCTGGCGGCAGCAGCAGCGGCGGGGTCCGGCCGACCAGGCGCCCCTTCAACAGGTCCGGGAACAGGAAGGCGCCCTACCAGCCGCCGAAGGTACGAACGAATCGAACGGGGTGTTGCTCCGTGTCGCCCGGGGAGGATGCGGGGGCTTCGGACTTCGCTGACTCGGGCGGGAGGAGATGGTCGGGTGGTTTTCTCACTGTGGTGTGACGCGATCGATCCAGGCCCCCGACGCTGTGTGGCAGCACGACATGTACCCTGCGGTCACAGCAGGAGGAGGCGGCGGCGGGAGGGTCACGGGTCTCGACACCGGCACCAAGCTCTACATCTCCAACCTGGACTTTGGAGTTTCGAACGAGGGTATCAAGGTATATACTTCACCGGGTTGAAGAGAGTTCTGTTTTTGTTTCTGAATTTAACTTTAGAAGCCCGTAATAGCTGGCCACAAGTGCGATTGGCTAGATTCGCGCTCCTGAAGATCGAGCCCGGCACATATGTGCCTTTTGGGGCTATGTACTACCGAAGATCTATTGTGGTTACACTGGGCATCAGTAGTTGGTAGCTGTCGCATGTATGGTTTGTAATTGTGGCGTTTTGCTGTGACTTTGGTTAACATGTTTAGATATTGTTCTTGTGTTTCCTAATGGAGGTGTTTAGATCCAGTGGAGATCCATATCTGTGTATTGATTGTTATATGATTTTCTCTAATAACTTAGTGGCTCTGCAGAACGCTATAGGATTTAAAGCTTTCATAATATGCTCTCTGCTTGAAACATGTAAAAATATGCTCATGTTTTATCCACAAATTTGTACCAGTTTGGTTTGATTACTTTGCTTCTCTTGCCATGCATATGCTTATTTGGGGTGACATCGGGTTAGTCTATTATGTGGATCAATTAGTCTATTACATCTCTTTGTAAAGTTGAATGCCTTGTTAAACATTATCTGACTAGTTTCGTATGCATTATGATGCAGGAGCTATTCTATGAGCTAGGTGATCTAAAGCGCTACTCGATAAATTATGATCGAAGTGGGAGGTCTAAGGTGCAGATGCTATCTTACGGTCTTTTACCTGTCTCATACACCTAATTTCCGGGTCTCTTACATTTGTTTTACCTTGTACCTCACAGGATACAGCGGAAGTTGTATTCGCAAGGCATTCTGATGTTGTAGCGGCGGTTAAGAAATATAACAATGTCCAACTTGATGGTAAGCCCATGAAGATAGAGATAGTATCAACACCTTCGTAAGACTGAAAGGCTAGCTCTAGGTCATTGATATCAATGTGCATTGAATTTGACATTGGTCTTACCTTATGGGACGGTTTGGACGTGTGGAACGAATTAGACTTCTGAATTATGTCTATTTAATGATGGATTGTATATATTCTTGTGAATTGTACTTGTAATGGTAGTTTATATAATGCTAGATTTGAATTATATATATATATATATAGTGTTCTGGTCGAATTTGAATTTTTCTTGGCGAAAACATGTGCTGTAGGGGCAGTTCTAGACTGAACCGCTCTTACAAATAGATATTATAGGAGCGGCTGGTACTACAGCCGCCCCTACAAATCGATTTTTGTTGAGGCGGTACAAATCGATTTGTAGGGGCGGCTGATAACACCAGCTGCCTCAACAAATCGATTTGTAACGGCGGTCTGGGAACCGCTCCTACAAATACATGATTTATAGAGACAATATGGTAGGGACGGCTGGCCGAGCCGTCTCTACAAACTATCGCCAGCTGCCCCTATAAATGATTATTGTAGCAGTGTCATGAGTTGGACGGAGACAGGATAGAGAGGGATATTGTTTGGTTGAACTAGCTTTTACAGAGACAAAAGTGCCAGCAGGATCGTGCGCTGCGCACCCCGCGAGCTAGGCTCGCCGGAAACAAAATTTGATTTCATCTTTACAGAGACAAAAGTGGCTGCCGGAACGTGCGCTACGCCCCCCCCCCCCACGAGCCAGACTCGCTGGAAACCAAATCTGATTCTCGGTAGCCAGGCTGAGTGTGCTGCTTTGCACCTGCTAGACTAGGCTAAAGACTCCGTCTAGCCAACCAATCAGCGCACGCATGCATTGGAGTGGCCAGGTCCTGGTTCCTTCCCGAATCCAATCACGCTCTAGAAATATATCTGCAGATCTGAATATAGCTAGTAATACATGTTTTTATGGGTAAAGTTCATGGCCGGTCCTCCAACTTGTAGGGATGTGTCATCCCGGTCCCTCAACTCAAAAAATGTGTTGTTTCAGTCCTTAAACTCTGTTTGGGTCTCATATTCATCCAAACAAAGTCTGGTCCCACATGTCAGCTATATCTCCCATCTCTCACCTCTCTCATGGCCATGGTCAGCTCACCGGCGAGCTGCTGCTCGGCTCGTGCTGCTACGGTAGCAGTGCTTGCCTGCGCCAACAGCAGCCTCTATGGCCGCCCTGGCCTTGGCCTTCTCATGTTTGATGAGCACCATGGCTGACTCCTCCGTCAGTCACATCTCATGCGACCACTGCTCCTCGTCCATCTTCCATCGCTGCAGCTCCATCTCATTCAGCACCAGGAGGAGGTGTTGGTCTCGGAGCATCAGCATAGAACAGCGTGCATGGCGAACTCGACGATCGACCTGGCCACGTTGAGATCGTCCAACACTGTGTCCTTGCGCAGCCTCGGCATGAGCTGCTCGTCCATGCCTCTGAGAGCGATGCCTGCTCGACCGCGCGTCTATGCGTGGCGGTAGCGGCGAACGCTCGCCTATACGTGGCAAGGACGAGGATGATGCGGAGGACATCGGTAAGTTGCTCGAGCCACGCTCCTCGCGGTACGTCTGGGGCAAACCGTGCACCAATCTTGCACCGACAATAGCACTACCTCCAAATGGACCAAAACGAGATTCCACATGACCAGGTCACATAGGAATTGTACGGGTGCGTCCAAAACAATTTCCGACCGTATGGTACGTTTGGCGCAAACCGCTCACCTATCTTACGTTAAGATTAGCACTATCTCCAAATGGACTGAAATGAGCTTCCACATGCGCCTATGGTACGTCTGGTGCAAACCACTCACCTATCTTCCACCGATAATAGCACTATCTCCAAATGGACTGAAATGAGATTCCACACGACCGTGTCACCTAGGGTTTTCACCGGGTGCGTCCAAAATGATTTCTAAGCCGATGGTACATCTAGCTCAAACCGTGCACCTATCTTGCACCGACACTAACACTGTCTCTAAAGAGAAAGAAGTGAGATTCCACATGACCCACGACACATAGGAGTTCCATGGGGTGTGTCCAAAATGATTTCTGAGCCTATGATACATTCGGCGCAAACTGTACACCTATCTTTCGTCCAGATTAGAAGTATCTCCAAACGGACCGAAACGAGCTTCAAATTCAACCTCGTCGCCTAGGAGTACCATCAGTTCCTCCAATACGATTTCTGAGCATATGGTACGTCAGGTGCAAACCGTGCACCTATCTTGCACCGACACTAACACTGTCTCCAAACGGACCGAAACAATATTCCACATGACCCACGTCACCTAGGAGTTCCATCAGGTGTGTCCAAAATGATTTTCTGGGCCTATGGTATGTTTGGCGTAAATCGTGCACCTATCTTGCATTAAGATTAGCACTACTCCAAACGGACTGAAACAAGCTTCCACATGCACCTATGGTACGTTTGATGCAAACCGTGCACCTATCTTGCACTGATAATAGCACAGTCTTCAAATGAACCAAAATGAGATTCCACAAGACCACGTCACCAAGGAGTTCCATCAGGTGTGTCCAAAATAATTTTCAAGCCAGTGGTACATTCAGCGCAAACCATGCATCTATCTTGCATCAAGATTTGCACTATCTCCAAACGCATCGAAACAAGCTTCCACTTGGGACTCATGACCTAAAAGTACCATCATGTGCATCCAAAACGATATCTGAGCCTATGTTACGTTTGGCACAAAGCGCGCACCTATCTTGCACTGACACTAGCATAATCTCCAAGCAGACCCAAACAAGATTCCACATGACCCATGCCACATTGGAGTTCTATGGTGTGCGTCCATAATGATTTCTGAGCCTATTGTACATTCGGTGCAAACCATGCACCTATCTTGTGTCAAGATTAGCACTATCTACAAACAGACCGAAATGAGCTTCCACTTGAGCCTCGTCACCTAGGGGTTTCGTCCAAAACGATTTCTGAACCTATGGTACGTTCGGCACCAACCGTGCACTTATCTTGCGTCAAGATTAGCACTATCTCTAAGCGGACCAAAACGAACTTACACTTGAGCCTCGTCACCTAGGAGTACCATCGATGCGCCCAAAATGATTTCTGAGCCTATGGTACGTTTGGTGTAAACCACTCACCTATCTTGCGTTAAGATTAGCACTATCTCCAAATGGACTGAAACGAGCTTCCACATGAGCCTATGGTACATCTGGGGCAAACTATGCATCTATCTTGCACCGACAATAGCACTATCTCCAAATCGACCGAAACGAGATTCCACATGACCACGTCACCTAGGATTTCTACCGAGTGCGTCCAAAATGATTTCCGACCCTATGGTATGTTTGGCGCAAACCGCTAACCTATCTTGCATTAAGATTAGCACTATCTCCAAATGGACTGAAATGAGCTTCCACATGCGCCTATGGTACGTCTGGTGCAAACCGCTCACCTATCTTCCATCGATAATAGCACTATCTCCAAATGGACTGAAATGAGTTTCCACACGACCGCGTCACCTAGGGTTTCCATCGGGTGCGTCCAAAACGATTTCTGAGCCGATGGTACGTCTAGCTCAAACCTTGCACCTATCTTGCACCGATACTAACACTGTCTCCAAAGAGAAAGAAGTGAGATTCCACATGACCCACGACACATAGGAGTTCCATGGGGTGTGTCCAAAATTATTTCTAAGCCTATGGTACATTCGGCGTAAACTGTACACCTATCTTGCGTCCAGATTAGAAGTATCTCCAAACGGACCGAAACGAGCTTGAACTTCAGCCTCGTCGCCTAGGAGTACCATCAGTTCCTCCAATACAATTTCTGAGCCTATGGTACGCCAGGTGCAAATCGTGCACCTATCTTGCACCGACACTAACACTGTCTCCAAACGGACCGCTACAATATTCCACATGACCCACGTCACCTAGGAGTTCCATCGGGTGTGTCCAAAATGATTTTCTAGGCCTATGATATGTTTGGCTCAAACCGTGCACCTATCTTGCATTAAGATTAGCACTACTCCAAACGGACTGAAACAAGCTTCCTCATGAGCCTATGGTACATCTGATGCAAACCGTGCACCTATCTTGCACCGATAATACCACAGTCTCCAAATGGACCGAAATGAGATTCCGCATTACCACGTCACCTAGGAGTTCTATCAGGTGCGTCCAAAACAATTTTTGAGCCAATGGTACATTCGGCGCAAACCACCAATCTATCTTGCATCAAGATTTGCACTATCTCCGAATGCCCCAAAACAAGCTTCCACTTGGGACTCATGACCCAAGAGTACCATCAAGGTCGTCCAGAATGATATCTGAGCCTATGTTACGTTTGGCACAAAGCGCGCACCTATCTTACACCAACACTAGCACAATCTCCAAGCAGACACAAACAAGATTCCACATGATCCACGTAACATTGGAGTTCTATAGTGTGCGTCCATAATGATTTCCGAGCCTATGGTATATTCGGTGCAAACCATGCACCTATCTTGTGTCAAGATTAGCACTATCTACAAATGGACCGAAATGAGCTTCCATTTGAGCCTCGTCACCTAGGGGTTTCGTCGGGTGCGTCCAAAATGGTTTTGAACCTATGGGATGTTCGGCACCAACCGTGCACCTATCTTGCGTCAAGATTAGCACTATCTCTAAGCGGACCAAAACGAGCTTACACTTGAGCCTCGTCACCTAGGAGTACCATCAATGCGTCCAAAATGATTTCTGAGCCTATGGTACGTTTGGTGTAAACCGTGCACCTATCTTGCACTAATACTAATAGTGTCTTCAAAAGGACCCAAACAATATTCCACATGACCCACTTCACCTAGGAGTTCCATTGGGTGCGCTGAAAATGATTTTAGAACCTATGGTACATTTGGCACAAACCGCTCACCTATCTTGTGTTAAGATTAGCACTATCTCCAAATTGACTAAAACAAGCTTCCACATGAGCCTATGGTATGTCTAGGGCAAACCGTGCCCCTATCTTGCACTAACAATAGCACTGTCTCCAAATGGACCAAAACGAGATTCCACAAGACCACGTCACCTTGGATTTCTACCAGGTGCGTCCAAAACAATTTCTGAGCCTATGGTACGTTTGACGTAAACCGCTCTCCTATCTTGCTTTAAGATTAGCACTATCTCCAAATGGACTAAAATGAGCTTCCACATGCGCCTATGGTACGTCGAGTGCAAACCGCTCACCTATCTTCCACCGATAGTAGCACTGTCTCCAAATGAACTGAAACAAGATTCCACATGACCGTGTCACCTAGGGTTTCTATCGGGTACATCCAAAACAACTTTCTGAGCCTATGGTACATCCAGCGCAAACCATGCACCTATCTTGCATCCAGATTAGAACTATCATTAAACGCACCAAAATGAGCTTCCACTTGAGACTCATCACCTAGGAGTACCATTAGGTGCGTCCAAAATGATTTCAGAGCCTATGGTACGTTTATCACAAACCATGCACCTATCTTGTACAGACACTAGCACTGTCTCCAAACAGACTGAAACGAGATTCCACATGACCCATGACACATAGGAGTTCCATCGGGTGTGTCCAAAATGATTTCTGAGCCTATGGTACATTTGGCACAAACAGTATACCTATCTTGCATCCAGATTAGAACTATCTTCAAACGGACCAAAACAAGCATCAACTTCAGCCTCGTCGCCTAGGAGTACCATCAGTTCCTACAACACGATTTCGGAGCCTATGGTACGCCAGGTGCAAACCATGCACCTATCTTGCACCGACACTAACACTATCTCCAAGTGGACCGAAATGATATTCCACATGACCCACATCACCTAGGAGTTCCATCGGGTGTGTCCAAAATGATTTTTGGGCCTATGGTATGTTTGGCACAAACCGCTCACCTATCTTGCATTAAGATTAGCACTATCTCCAAACGGACTGAAACATGCTTCCACATGAGCCTATGGTACGT